CTGTGGTGCTTGCTGGTGACCTAAACGCCCAAGTCGGAAAATTATCCTCTGATGAGCTTCACGGGGCAGCCAACATGGTGTAGGTTCCCGTAATGATAACGGCGAGTGTTTGCTACATCTGTGTGAAGATGCTCGTCTCTTTCTCGCGAGCACTAACTTTTGACATAGCACCTGCAGAAGAGTGACTTGGCGCCCACCAGCCTCGGGCCAGCCATGGACGCAAATCGATCACACCGCTGGAGAGGCTGTGTCCAAAACTGTCGCTCGATTTGAATCACGAGCATAGACTCCGATCGCGCTCTTGTGTGTGCTGACCTTCTAGTGCGTTTCGGCGGACGTCCACGCTGTCGTTCTGAGCCAACAGACACTAGCCAGCTGGCGAAGCCAGATGTTCTGAATACGTATCAAACTACGCTGGCATGCGGGATGAATAAGCGCCCACTAAACACTGCTGAACATCACTGGCCGCATATCCATCAAACGTTACTATCAGGAGGCTTGTCATTATGTGGCAAATCAAATTGCCAAGCTGGACATTGGGTCTCTACACAGATGCTGGCCGACGTATGCTAGCTGGAAGCGAATACGATGCGACTCAAAAACCTCAGGGCAACACTGTTTGCTAGTCTGAAGAGAGATCACGAGGCCTGGTGGTCTCATCGTGCATCGGAAATGTAGGCAGTCCTGATCGTTGTTAATCATTGTAAGTTATTCCGTCTGATACAAAAAATAGGCAGCAGGAGACCTGGTGTTAGCGAGACCATACGTGATGCGCTCGGACAGCCATTCCACAGCTTCGGGCCGAACACTTTGTAAGGCAGTTTAACCTGTCTGAGTTATCACTTCCTTTGTCGGACATTGAGTGCCTTTCTCCCTGGGCCGTGTCCTTGGATCCGCTCTCACGTGCAGAAATCAAACGTGAGATCAGAGTGCTGAAATTGCATAAGGCCGCAGGGGCAGATAGAATTCCCCCATCCCTCATCAAATTCGGGGAGCCTGCTTTTGTAGATGATTCGCGCGAGTTACTAGGGAAACCTTGGGAGCAGGAAAATGTTTCAACAGACTAGAGCCGCTCTGTCATAGTTCCAATTTTCAAGTGATGCTCCCGTCCGGATTGCGGCAATCGTGGGTGAGTCAGTCTGATCTCAGTTGCCTCTCAATTACGTACGTCTGTCTTTCTCCACAGACTGACTGTCACCCGTGAAAGCCAAATTCATGAGGAGCAAGCCGGGTTTCCTCGATGTCGGGGCTGCATAGACCAGCTCTTCACTTTGCGTCAATGGTTGAAGCACTGCCATGTTTATTGGCCACCCACCATTGTCATGTTTCTCGGCATAAAGGGTGCCTTTGATTCGGTTCATTGATGTGCCTTTTGGGACAGCATGCTGAGGAAAAGTATGCCTGTACGCGCATAGTTCGGACAGAGTGAGGGTTTATAGCAAACTGTCGCCGTCCTTCAATATCTCCTGCGTTGTGAAACAAGGGTGTTCGCCGTCACGTTTCCTCTTTAGTTTCACCATTAACGAAATCATGCAAGCAGCGTTCACTGGATACGACTTAAAATGTGTAGAGCTACTTCCTGATGGGCGCTTTGACTTGGAGTATGCGGACGACACTGTCCTCATCTGTGACATCTTCTAAACGTGCCAAGCAGGACTGGAGCGATTAGCACTGGCTGTCAATCGTTTTGGGCTATGCTTTGCTCCATCGAAGTGCAAACTCGTCCAAGATTGACAGGACCCACCCCTGCTCTGACCCTGGGTGGTGATCAGCTAGAAGTCATTCAGGAATTCAAGTACCTGGGTAGCTATTTTAGCGCCCGTGGGATCGAAGATGAGGTTACGAATCGTATAGCAAAGGCTCGATGTGCTTTTGTCAATCTCTGCTACTTGTGGCTCCGACGCGGCATCACTTTCTAGTTGAAGGGTAGGGTTTATAATAGATCATCATCATCATTATGCACCTTAGCTGCAGATGGAAAACACCTCAGCTATTGTACCGCAGTACAACAGACAAGAGAAGCACGCTGGCTGAGTCCTCACTAACGGATGGACAACATTCCGGAGAGCTAACAGCCGGCCATCGTGCCGCAAAATGGGAGTTGTATTACGCCTAACGAATGAGATCGTGATTGGAGGGGGATGGACAAAGGAACGAACAACACAAACGCTATATTAGCAAGTGTGTCCAACCAAATGTGTTCATCATTCCTGGGACCCCAGCCACGCAGTCATGATGTAGGAACCGATGCCAAATTCGAAGTGAGGGTTTTCATTTCTCTTGACCAAGTCATCGCTTGGCCTCCCCTCTTCCTCTTCGAACCGCACGCCCGGCGCGCAAGTAATGCACGTCGCGGGAGTCGGTGTGCTGGCATGCGCAACACGTAGCCCAGCCATCGGAGCCTGGTGCGTGATATAATGGTGCTGAGCGGTTTACTCGCTCTTCCTGCACGAAATACGCGACGCCGAACACGCTCATTGCTCACGCAGTGCTCTCACCAGACATGAGTTAAGCTGCGGAGGCAGAGATGATCGAGCGTGGCTAGCCTGTTTACGTCTGTCGAGCTGATGGGCCAGGCTTCACAACCATATAAGAGGGTTGAACGGACGGCTGCATTATAAACTCTGCCATTTAGGGCGAGAGTAATGTCGTGTCTGCGCTATAGATGGTGGAGATTGGCACCTCTATTTTTTGGTCTATGGTTCGTAATCTCTGCTTCGATCCCACGGGTGCTTATATAGCTACCCAGTTACTTGAATTCCTGAACGACTTCCAGCTGATCACCACCAAGGGTCAGCGCAGGGGTGGGTGCCTGTCAATCTTGGACGACTTTGCACTTCGATGGAGCAAAGCATAACCCAAAACGATTGACAGCCAGTGCTAATCGGTCCAGTGCATCCTGGCACGTTTGGGCGCTGTCACATATGAGAGTAATGTCGCCCGCATACTCCAAGTCAAGAAGTCGCTCACCAGGATTTAGCTCCACACATTTTAACTCGTGTCCACCGAACGCTATTTCCATGACTTCATCAATAGTGAAGTTAAAGAGGAAAAGTGGCAGCGGGCAACCTTGTGTCACACCGCTGGAGATATTGAAGGGCGGCGACAGTTTACCATAAACCCTCACTCTGTCCGAACTATGCGCGTACAGCGCTTTGATAATGTTTACATATTTATCGGGTGCACCTTTCCTCAGCAGACAGTCCAAAAAGCACATTAATCCACCGAATCGTATGCACCTTTATCGTCAAGAAACACGACAACCGCCGTCCGTTCAACCCTCTTATGCGGTTGTGAAACCTAACTTTTCTGGTCGACAAGCATAAAGTGGCTAGTCACGTTCGATCATCTCTGCCTCCGCAGCTTAGCTCATGTTTGGTGGGAGCACTGCGTAAGCGATGAGCGTGTTAGGCGTCGCCTATTTGGTACAGGAAGAGCTAGTGAACCTCTCAGCATTATATCACGTACCAGGCTCCGATGGCTGGGTCACGTGTTGCGCATTCCAGCACACCGACTCCCGCGACATGCATTGTTTGCGCACTGAGGATGTAGTTGGAAGAGGAGGTGAGACCAAGCGATGACTTGGTCGAGAGAAATGAAAACCCTCACTTCGCATTTGGCATCAGTTGGTGCATCCTGACTGCCTGGCTGGGGCCCCAAGGACGATGAACACGTTTGGTTGGACACTTGTTGATATATCAAAGAGACGCCCCATTGGCGTTTGTGTTGTGCGTTTCTTTGCCCGGCCCCCTCTCTCTTAGATTCCCCTTCCAATTACCATCTCATATGTTATGCATAAGGTAATGTTTAACATTAGCTTTCTTGCTTTTGAATTTTTTTAGTGTCTTTTCTTTTTGTATTACGGCACATTAGCTGAGGTGTTTCTCACCCTCAGATAACGTGTATTGACGATGACGATGATGATGATGACGATGATGATGATGGAGACGGGTGGATATCAGCCTGTCATTTAACTGTGGAATACATAGCAGTGACAAAATCAGGGTTATTGTATGTATCAGAGGCCTGGCCAGTTGACAGTGAAGACATTAAGCGCTTGGCCATGTTTGACCACCGGTGCTTTCGGGCTATCTTATATGTGGTTGGAACATCGTATGAGCAATATTGTAGTCCGTCAGTTGGTTTTTATCAAGATGTCCTCTGGTGCCTCGTTTGAGCGTTTACTGAAGTTTAACCGCTTCCGTTGCTAGCTTATGTCCTCCGTATACCCCGGTGACCGGCTTCCTCAGCGTGTATTATATGCCATGGTTGCACTAAATTGGGTGAAACCGCGGGGTGGCCTGCCGATGACATATTATAGAAGAATGAAAAAATTGATTGAGAAACTTGCTCAAGCTTGCGCGTACCGTCTTCGTCGATGGGCGCTTCGAGATGTTCCACACCAGTGATTGGAGACTCTATTGGATATGGCGCAGTCAGTGGTGCTGTTGCATTCGGTTTCTTGAGTCATTGTGCTAATCTTCACTCCATCCCGATTAGTTTTGCGCATTACTTCCTTGTTTCCACTTTCTTTTTACTCTATTTGCATTCAAGCCTATTTGCTTACCATTGTTGCTTATTTGCATTCTGGCGACGTGAGTCGCGGTCACTGGGTCCACCACACTTCGGTGCTGGAATCATAGTTGTTCGACTGATCTGAGACACTAAATACTGCGTATCAGAATGGGAGATGATGTGACAGGCCCAAAGCTGTTATTGTAGCAAAGTAGGTGAGACCTCGTTGGGGCTCTTCTATAGGACTGTTCTTATTTTCTCTTCCCTTGGCCTCAACATTACGTTTTTGGCATCGTTAGAACAGCAGTCTCTCGTACTTGTTTACGCCACCCCTTCACTTCAGGCTCTGTCCGCACTCAGCAACTGTGATCGTGGAATCCAGCTGACCACGAAGTGTTGCCAGCACATTTTCCATTCAGTTCCGTGCCTACTAGGAAGTCGTGATGAATCTATGCAACCGCCTTCGAAGTATGCTTTACATTTCAGCCCCAGGACCTATTACAACCTACGTACGCGCTGGACACGTAAGCCTTCGGGATCCCGAGACGGACGCATAACACAATCCGGGATTCCGGTTTTCTATGACTTCCAGGAGGCGAACTTTGCGGTATTCTCATTTCTCTATGCATTACTTTTAGAACATTGCGGAAGTCCCGGTCGGTTCGGTCTGTGACTATAGACAATTCGGCAAGGAAACACACTGCATCCACTAGGTTTTCTTTTATTTATTTTTTCCATTCTCAGGTTAACTCCGAAAGCACATTCTGTCAGCTATCAAACTCGTTGTTCAGCTGGAAGCCGAAGGTAAGTTTCATATTCCTTATTGTGTGTAGGCTACCGTCGGAAACTAAGCGCTCGCGTGATGTGGCGTTGTCCATCAAGACCCTCGAGCCGTTCAAAGCACATGGCAAAGCAGAAGCAGTTAGCGCTGTCCCTGAAATTAGAAGAAAGCGGTTGGATACATCGGAATATATAAGGAAGCGCTTCCTGTACGACTCGAATGAACCTGCTAAGCGTACGAACATTAAAAAGTGTCCTCTTGGAAAGACCTCATCTGCTTTACTTATGGATTCTTCGACAAAATTGCATCAGAGTAAGGCGCTGTCTTTAGCCCACAAGCCATCATGTCATCGAAGCAAGCGAAGACGACGTGTGAAGCCCACTCACTCAAACGATAGTGAATCAGACTCAGAACAACCTCGAGCTGCAAGCACGGTTCTAGCTAACATGTCGCAAAGGCGGGCACCCAGGCATTCTGAACATGAACCAACGCAGGATGTCCTGACTACAGACCGGAGGTCTACTTGGGAACTACCGAGTTTGTTTGATGGGGAGGTATCGAGCCCGGTTGATAACGACAATTTGTCAGTGTCGGGAGCTGTTGATCCTGCTCACTTCCTACCAAACAAGGCAAGTGATGGTCTACTCTATATTATATTTGAATATACTTGACATCTAATTGACAATAATACGATTGGAAGCGCAAAGGTGCAACCGCCAGATCAATAACAGCTACCAAACTGTACCGAATCTCGCGATCTATGCCATATAGTAGTTTTCTTATTTCCACTCGATCACGTTGCCATCCGAATGCTCTCACTGCTCCGTTGCCCCAGCACGATCCGTGAGCGACTTATCTAGGTCATCATTGAAAACTGTCCCTTGGACAAGTGAACTTAAGTTGCTCCGGCTGTTTTACTGCTTCTATCTGGGGAGAGCACGGACCTCCTGAACATTCCTGTTACCAAAACCTTGCATCGAAACCATGCTACTCATCAGTCGGCAGATTTTGATTTGAAACTCCGTCGGCAAGCATCATTGACGGCTTGTTGATGCCATTGCACATGTCTAATTTGTTACCACGATGAAGTTTCCCGTGACACCACAGGTAGCTGTGTTGCTCACTTTCAACTACTGTGCCACGATTATTATGACGCGGCGGCTCTTCCCCTTATCCGCGAATCTCCATGTCTTTTGTTGCCTCTACGTCTATTTACTAGACTGTCTATCTTGAACTTCGTTACTTGAAGCGATTCGAATCTGCTGACCCAGACGGACGTCTTCCGGAGCTGTTCAAGTACGGTGGCGAGGCGATTGTCAACTGACTAACAGCTCTGTTTCCGAGGATCATCATCATCATACACGTTAGCTAGAGGTGGGGAACACCTCAGCTACTGTGCCGCAATACATAGAAAAAAGAAGATCTGATGTGAAGTAAACGTTCCATTCCCTTGGGGCGACTCCATCATCATGCTCATCTTCAAAAATGCTGCTCGTACCTCATGCGTCAACCACAGAGGAATCAGTCTACTCTGCGTCGCATCCAAATTACTAACATCCATTCTACTACACTCCTGTCGAGGGTGTGTGGACCACATGTTTACGCTCCGTCAACTCCTCGAGCAACGCCACCTATATCGCCAGCCCACCACTGTCGCTTTTGGGACATCTGAGCTGCGTACGATTCGGTCGACCGGCCTGCTCTGTGGCGTTATTGGTAAAGGAACGGGGTTCCCTACAAGTATGCTGCCATACTTCCAGCTTTATACAACAGTCTCTGGTATAGTGAGGGTTTACGATAAGCTCTTCACCTTTCGCTGTCACTATCGGTGTGCGACAGGGATGCCCCATGTGCCCGTTTCTCTTCGACTTTGGCGATTGAAGATGTCTTATTAAGCGCTCTTTAAGCTTTCCAGGGTTCTGGCATAGAACTTCTTCCAGGCAACTGCGCGACTGACTTGATCTATGCTGATGGAGTCGCCTTCTCCGGTAACGACCCATAGTTCATGCAGGTCGGTCCAAACCGTTTTTTGATTAAAACTACCAAGTATGGCATGACCTTCCCTTCATCGAAATGCAAACTCCTACTCCATGACTGGCATCCGCCTCCCCCGTGCTGCTTTTTGAAGACGTGCAGTTTGAATAAGTAGATTGCTATATCTACCTTAGAAGCTGCATTTTTTCTGATGGCACTATTGGGAGAGAGATTTCTCCTCGTTTTGCCAAAGCCCGATCAGCTTTCGCTGATCTGAGGCATCTGTGGCGTCATCGTGACGTCTCATTCTCGGTAAAGGGTAGGGTGTACAGAGCGTGTTCGCGCGGTCCCGTTGTATGGAAAGGAGTCCTGGCCGGTCCGTGCAAATGATTTGCGTTAGATTTCAGCCTTTGACAACGGTTGTCTGCGCAGGATATCTCATGTGCGGTGGGAACACCACTTTAGCAACATCGATGTTAGACATCTCGTCCTAGGTTATACTGGCTTACTTCCCGACAAACAATATTGTTGCGTCAACTGAGGTGACTTTGTCACGTCCTACGCATGCCGTGCGAGCGTTTACCATGACGCGCTCTCTTCGCTCGCACAGAGCCGCACTGGAAGAAATAGCATGATTACCACTCTACCTTATGGCGACAAAACGTTAAGGCGCTGACTTAAAGTCTAGCTGTTGTCGGCCCCCGTACATCTATCGGGCTGGGGCATCCGAGATGAAGAACATCGCTGGTTGGAGATTCTTAAGTACATGGCTCGTAATTGCGGACAATGGAAGGCGTGCATGATCTTTTTGCATTGATTCTACTGATCAACACCGTAACCACTAAAGTGATAAAAAAAAGACAAAATGGCGCGTGATATACACAAAAATTTCTCTTTGTGTATTTTTCCTATTTAATCTTTGTGGTTATTATACACCATTCCACGGCTTCTAGATGGCTCGATGTCTATTGTATATATATTTATTCACAGTCTGTTAACAGACATTGTGCCATCAGAACCATGGCAGAAGAAAAAGGTGAAGAAGATGGGGACACTAATGCGATTAAAAAATATGGGAAACGAATTTTTTTGGTTTTACACACGCCATTTTGTATTTTTTGTTTTGTTTTGTGAGTTTTTGTGTGTATCAAAGGGATGGTGAAATTGCGGAACAATATTGCCGCCACTGATGTCTGTTGCGGGCCATGACGTCCAATGTTTCCAACACTGTGGTGCGGATTAGCTGGAAGAGCTTGCGGTAATTGCCTACTGCTCCTGCCTCCTCCATTTCTTGAGCCCGACTGGTCCACCAGGCTTCCTTGTCAGCACGTAGGCTCCGCTTTAGTTCACGCCTAATAGCCCGTCTGGTCACATTGTGTTCAGAACCAGCCGGGAGGTGCCTTCTAGATTCCAACGGGTTCACCGACCTCTCGGATATCCAGTGACTAGTGCGGTGACGATGGATAGTGCCACAAGCAGATGCTCCTGCGTCGTGCATGGCAGCCGAGATCTTATTCCACTGAAGTTCAGTGTCATTAGGACAAGACAGCGAGAGTTCGCTATGCAGTGCTTCTTGATAGGCTTGCCTGACAGTGGGTTGGGACTATTTCTCCGTTGCCAATCGGAGGAGACGCTTTGTGCGCCTTCCGGTAAACTTCATGGAGAAACGACAGCGCATCAAGGCATGGTCAGAGTCGACACAGGTACTCCAGTACGAGCGGCAATCCAGAATGGAACCGCGCCACCTGTAACTTATGGCTATGTGGTCAATTTGGGTCCATCGCTGGCCAGCTACAGGTGGACGCCAAGTGGCACTTCGGCGCCCACTGTGTCTAAAAGCAGTGCTAGTAAGAAACAACTGGTGCTCCGCACACAGTTGCAGCAGACGCTCACCGTTGTCAGTCCGTTCGGCGTTAAGTCCATACTTACCACCCAGCTGAGCTTCTGAAGAGCTCAGACGCCCTACTTGTGCGTTCACATTACCTGCAAGTACTATACTATCTGAACTAGTAGCACTGCGTAGCAGCGTGTTCAGTTTGTGATAGAAAGTGTCCTTGACTGCATTAGAACTGCAGTCGGTGGGAGCATAAGCAGAAATCACAAACAAACAGCGAATTCACCTTAGCTGATGTCGTCAAACGGGCTGCACATAAACGGCTGTTCACCTGAATCCAATCAACCAACGATGACTCAGCCTTGGAGCTGAGAATGATACCTACACCAGCTTGACCCGTGAGTGCCGCATCGGCGTCTCCGGATGCGTGCAACCAATAACGAGAGGATAAGCCGGGTGCAGTCAATTCAATAACCCCGTTAGGGTCATTAATCCTAGTTTCGGACACACAACACACATCAACACCCAGTGTGTCCAAGGTGCGTGCGAGTGCAGCCTGCTGACCTGTTTGTCTCAGAGTGCGGACGTTGAATGTCGCCATGGAAACGGGACAGCGTGGCCTTATAAGGGACTTTTGCTGATAGGCGTCCGATAGGTGCTGTGGGATGGTGGCCGCAGACGGTACTACTCCAGTAGCACTTCGGTTGCTGTCAATTAAGCTGGGAATTATAGAAGGAAGGTTAGTAATAGGGGCTGGGATGGGAGTAAGAGAAAAAGGTGGGAAAGAAAGAAGGGAGGCGCCAGCAGTAGCATGCTTTCGCTTATCCGCCCTGCTGTATGCAGCAGATAAGGCGACCCTTGATAATCTGCGCGACGGCCGATGCAGGATGAAGTTTACGTTTGAAGAAAATGTCATGGTTGTCCCTTGGACAAGTGAACGTAAGTCGGTCCGGCTGTTTTACTGCTTCTATCTGGGGAGAGCACGGACCTCCTGAACATTCCTGTTACCAAAACCTTGCATCGAAACCTTGCTGCTCATCAGTCGGCAGATTTTGATTTGAAACTCCGTCGGCAAGCATCATTGACGGCTTGTTGATGCCATTGCACATGTTTAATTTGTTACCACGATGAAGTTGCCCGTGACACCACAGGTAGCTGTGTTGTTCACTTTCAACTACTGTGCCACGATTATTATGACGTGGCGGCTCTTCCCCTTATCCGCGAATCTCCATGTCTTTTGTTGCCTCTACGTCTATTTACTAGACTGTCTATCTTGAACTTCGTCACTTGAAGCGATTCGAATCTGCTGGCCCAGACGGACGTCTTCCGGAGCTGTTCAAGTACGGTGGCGAGGCTATTGTCAACTGACTAACAGCTCTGTTTCCGAAGATCATCATCATCATACACGTTAGCTAGAGGTGGGGAACACCTCAGCTACTGTGCCGCAATACATAGAAACAAGATCTGGTGTGAAGTAAACGTTCCATTCCCTTGGGGCGACTCCATCATCATGCTCATCTTCAAAAATGGTGCTCGTACCTCATGCGCCAACCACAGAGGAATCAGTCTACTCTCCGTCGCATCCAAATTACTAACATCCATTCTACTACACTCCTGTCGAGGGTGTGTGGACCACATGTTTACGCTCCGCCAACTCCTCGAGCAACGCCACCTATATCGCCAGCCTACCACTGTCGCTTTTGGGACATCTGAGCTGCGTTCGATTCGGTCGACCGGCCTGCTCTGTGGCGTTATTGGTAAAGGAACGGGGTCCCCTACAAGTATGCTGCCATACTTCTAGCTTTACACAACAGTCTCTGG